GGGGAGGCTGCCCCTGGGGCGGGAGGCGGTATTCCCTGAGTGCTGCGTGGCGCGGGGCTGGCAGAGGGAGGCTGCTGCGGGGCCTCAGCAGCTCGGGGGGCAGGAGTAGGACTGGATGGCCAGGGGGCTGCTGGTCAGCACTAAGGACCATCCATCGAGCTGGTGGTGGGGAGCCCAGAGCTGGCTGTTGCCTTGGGGTGCCCCTGTCCTCACCGTCTCTCCTCGCCCCACCAGGTGCACTGCGGGCGACTGAACGAGTCGGACGAGCGGAACCTGCGTGCGCTGGAGAAGCACGTGAGTTAACGCCTGCGCTCCCTGCGCTGCGCCTCCCCCAGCCCCTGTGAGATCAGCCATGCTCTGCCCAGTGCCCCTGCTGCCCACGGCCCCAGGGCAACTCGCCCCAGCAGCCAGGCCTTCCCCTGCGTGCCAAAGGGAATGGGCTGGGCGAGGCTTAGAGAGGTGCTGGCCGGTCAGGAACCAAGAGACTCAGTGACACCCCCATTGTGTGTGTGTGTCCATGCACACCTGCAGGGGATCTGGGTGTGCCCACACGCGTGCGGGGGGGTCTGTGTGTGTGCACATGTAACCCACACAGCTAGCATGGTTCACTGTCCCTTGTAGTGGCATTTAGACCACGTACAGAGAGAGATAAGAACAAGGGAGCTCTACAGCCTAAGCTGAGAACCAGCTGGCTTTGTAGCTCAGGCTCTAGTGGCGCCTATGTTAAGCTCCTGAGGTCTGAGGTTCAAGTCCCTGTGGTGGGGGTTATACACACCTGTGCAGGGGGTCTGTAGGTAGGTAGGTGTGATCTGTGGGGGTTATCTAGCAGCAGGCCTGTGTGCAAAGGGGCTCTTGAGGTGGAAGCGGGAGAGTGAGATGTGCATACGCTCACTGGTGTCTCTTTGCTGACCCCAGGCTGGAAGGCTTCCCTTTGCTGCCACTAGAGTGAGAGTCATGTGGGGCGGGGAGGTGATGGGAAACAGCCAACCTATGGGGGAGGGGGAGCATGGAGATGGCACAGACAAGCTCCCTGTGGCTCAACAGAACAGGGGCTGGAGGCCTTCCTTTGCTGGGTCCCCTGTGCGCCTTCCTCTGCCTGGAGCAGCGCTGCCCCCTGCTGGTTACAGCAGTAAAGCCAGTAAAGCCAGCATGAGCAGGATCTGACCCCCCCCCCCCCCTCCCCATCGGGCACGCTGGACTCTCCCTCCCTGGCTGGGTTTCAGTCAAGACAGGCTGGCTCTGCAGCAGCTCTGCTCCAGGGATTACTGGGGGGGTAGGTCTCTGGCCTGGGTGGAGGCAGGATCACACACATCCCTTCTGGCTCTGGACTCTACAGACCCTGGGGGAGTCTGGCGCCGGAGCCAGATGCCCTGGCTCAGCATCTGGCTCCACTTGATTCAGGGTTTGCTCCTGTGGCTCTCCTGGGCTCTCTCCTGGCAGGAGAG